ATGTTGGCAGACCAGCCGTACTCGGAAGTGGTCAGCACGCAAGGGGAGTCGGCCATCCTAGAGCTAACGATGACCTTCTCCACCTTGTCTCCGAGGACTTCCTTCATCAACTTGGTGAGAGGCTCAAACTCGGCCTTCATCTCCTCCAGCTTCTTCCTTGGACATCAGGGAACTACTCATAAGAAGCAGGTTGGTTGCCCGACACCATCACCAAATCAGAAGCTCGGTCGATGCTTCCAAGGCACTTCTCGTCCTCGTCCTCAATGTCCAAACCCTCCTTCGTGGTGGATTTCAACTTCTTGCCATCGAACTCCTTCAGCTGCTGCACGGAGTACTCGTCGATGGGGTCGATCATGTACAGCACCTACGGTCTCGACGAGTGTAAGGTGATTCCGTTCCAAAGCCTACCTGACTAAAGCTGTGCACATCACAGTCTGTCCTTAGGCGGCTTGGGCTTGAGGCACCTCAATGCCCTTCTTTCGCAGGGTCTCCAGGAACGGAGAGGAAGACACGGCCGCGATGCTCTCGCCTGACCATTGCAGTCACATGCTCTAGCCTCTCTGACCGTCACTGTGCACTTCGGGCTCTTGGTGTAGGGCAGATGTTCGCGGTTAGAGTTGGCGCCATGGGTAAGCGTAATGAACTCTCTCTGGTCTGGAGAGGCGCCTGTGATGTAGAAGATGTCGTTCTGTCCCTCCTTCATGCGGTCGACGTACTCCTTCCTGAGGCCGGGTAGCACTTCCGCTCGGGTGCTGGCAATCGTGCTTCCAGGTTTTATCTTTCTTGAACCCGCGTCCCCAAGCCCCAAGCTTTCGGGACAGCGAGTCAAGCTGCTCCTCAAACACGCTCAGTCGGGTTCTGCGACCTTTCATGACGTTAGCTTTTTGAACACACCCTGAAGCACACTCTCCAGATTCGAGTCCCAGGGTCAGGCTGATCTGCTCGTCTCCAGACTTGGAGGTGTGGTAGCGGAGGAGCTCGGCCACCTCGCAGCATGAGGCTTGCTTTGATATTGATATCACGAGGCGTCGGATCAACCTAGTCGTTACGAATGCATGCCCACCTTGGTGCGGTTCGTGGAGTCCTCATGGACGCCCAGCTTCAGGCACTTGCCGAACTGCTCGTAGAACTTCTTGTAGTCGTCCTTCTTCTCGGCGATCTCTGCAAACATCTCGAGGCACTTCTTCACAAGATTCTTCTTGATGACTCGCAGGATCTTGTTCTGCTGCAGGGTCTCACGAGAGATGTTTAGAGGCAAGTCCTCCGAGTCCACGACGCCCTTCACGAAGTTCAGCCACTCTGGCATCAGCTCCTCGCAGTCGTCCATGATGAAGACACGACGCACATACAGCTTGATGTTGTTGCGCTTCTTCTTGGTCTCGAAGAGGTCAAAGGGCGCCCGGCGGGGGACGAAGAGCAGCGCACGGAATTCCAACTGGCCCTCGACGCTGAAGTGCTTCACCGCAAGGTGGTCCTGCCAACAGCTTGCACAAGTTTTTCCGTGCAACAAACAATGTCCTAGCGTTGACCCCTTGCCTGCAAATCAGTGACTGAGAGGTGCCAGAGATCAATCCAATCGGACTGAGCCGTCCTCCCAGTCGTTGGACAACGACTTGTAGAAGGAGGCATACTCCTCGTTGGTGACGTCTTCGGACTTGCGCATCCAGAGAGGCTTGTTCTTGTTCAGCTGCCTCACGACATGCTGAGCAGCTTCACATCGACGGTTCTTGGATAGTCTGGTTCAGCCCCTGCCGGTCACAACAAGAGACACATCTGACCATGGCTTAGAACACTGCTGTTCCAAACCCTAAAGACATAAAGAGCTGGGTGACAAGCTTTAAGCAACGAAGCAACCTCAAAGCCTTTGCCCAACACTCCGAGGAAAACTGCCCACCGCCAAGCTGCTCCCACTCGTGCGAGACCTCCTTCACCTTCCTTGGCGAAAAGTTTATGGACAGGTGCTCCACGAACTGTACGCATCAAGAGACGTAGGCATTAGACTGCCTGTTCCGCTGGATGCTTATTCTACGGATGTTAGGAAAGCATTTCGGAGCCGCTGCACTCATCGACTCGTCCGCCGAGCGTCTTGGTCTTCTTTTTCTTTTCCTCTTTCTCCTTCTCCTTTACCGCAGCGATCCGAACATCGAAAGTGCAAACCCGAATTTTGCTGCCACGCTCGGACATCTCCCACCCCCCCTTTCCAAACTTGAAACTGGAAAACCGCAAGCGCCCTAACCCGCCCGGACGTCTCCTCATCCACTTCCTCGATCTTTGGCTCGTCACCTGGAACAGAACTTCGAAAGGCAAACACGCCTATAGCCTACAGAAGGCAGGCAGACGCTCGGGATCAGAACTTACGGTAAAAGATCAAACGTGCAAATAGTCCCAAAGCCGAGACAAGTCATGACAACCCGGAAGCGAAGCTCCTGCTCGGCTCCACCCCTCACCGCTCCCCTCCCCCAGCCGGCGCCCTCTTTCTCGTCCTTCTTCTCCTCCTCTTCCTCCTCGGAGTCCTGGGCGCCCAAGGCTCAAAAACAGGTGAAGGGTCTCGGTTGGTTCGTGGTTTGGCGTGGTGGGGCTAAAGGCTGGGATCAGGGCTTGTCATTTCGGGCGGTGGCTGTGCCGCGAAGTGGCCGTCACCTCCTTCTCCTTGGACTTCTCCACGTACAGCTCGATGGGGAAGCCGATGAACTCGGAGTGCTTCTTCACCAGGTCCTTCAAGCGTCGCTCCTGAGCATGCCGTGTCAAAGAGTCACTGGTCGGGAGCGTACTTTCCGGCTTGCAGCTTCGTGTGCGATACGAAAGCTTCGAGGTATGGCGATTGGGAATGGGGCGGGCAGGCAGGCATTTTCTGTATCCCTCCTCAGACGTAAAGGCCTTTCTGTCGTAACTGTTCGAAAACATGCGCGAACTTCAGCGACCTCCAGGAACTCGGACTGGTCTTCCTTCAGGTAGCAGATGATCTTGGTGCCACGCTTGATCTCGCCGTGAACCAACTCGGTGTCCTCTCGGGCCACACTTCAAGCAAAAGGAAGCTACGAAGATACATGACAGTCTTGAACCAGCAGTCTGCATGCGGAAGATGCAAGCACTTCACCAGATTCGGCTTGCGGCATCAGGCTGGACCGACAATCCCCCGGCCTTCTGCACGGTGAAAGAGCCACCGGCGCCGCTCTCCCAGATGTATTGCCTCGTAGAAGTGTTTTGGAAAGCACCCAGCCGTGGGCGACGGGAAGGCTCAGTCACGGCCACTTGACCCCGAATGTTCCGATCGCACTGACTTCTACAACCCCGGCACCTAGCCGCAAACTGCCTCGATGCGAAGCAGCTGACACTCCCAACAAG